AGCCACACAAGGGGCCCCGGCAGGAGAGGCAGGGGCCCGTCTTCCCTCGGCACGGGGAGGGATGGTCTGTCGCTTCCACGAATATATAAGAAACAATTCCTCCCTCCCTTCCTCCATCCCCCCTTCTCCTTCCATTGCTTCCCCATCTCCGTCTCTTTCCACCTCCCCTCCCCCCCCGTGGGCCCCCTTTCAGGTACCAGCTGAAGCTGTTTGCCCGCAGCAGGAGAGGCAGGGGCCCGTCTTCCCTCGGCACGGGGAGGGATGGTCTGTCGCTTCCACGAATATATAAGAAACAATTCCTCCCTCCCTTCCTCCATCCCCCCTTCTCCTTCCATTGCTTCCCCATCTCCGTCTCTTTCCACCTCCCCTCCCCCCCCGTGGGCCCCCTTTCAGGTACCAGCTGAAGCTGTTTGCCCGCATGTGCCTGGACCGCCAGTACCTGGCGATCAAAGAGATCTCCAAGCAGCTGGGGGTGGATCTCATCTTCCTCTGCATGGCGGACGAGATGCTGCCCTTTGACCTCCGGGCCTCCTTCTGCCACCTCATGCTGCATGTGCACGTGGACCGGGATCCGCAGGAGCTGGTGATGCCCGTGAAGTTTGCCCGGCTGTGGACAGAGATCCCCACCGCCATCACTATCAAAGAGTGAGGCCAACCGGGGCGTCTAGCTGGGAAGGGGCGGCAGCGGGGACTCCAGGGCCCCTCCCCTAGAGACCCCTGGCTCGGATCCCTGGCGACCGAGTGGCCATACTGAGGGCAGCAGCGGGCCATGTGTGGGATGAGTCCGGCGGGTCTCAGCACGGTTTCCTCGTGGGCAAAAGCCCCTTCTTTAAAAAGCACCATTGACCCAGCTGGCACCGATCGGCCCGCCAGGCCAGTGACTCTGAGCCTGAGTTCTCCCCTCTGTCTTGCGAGGTCAGAACTGAGTCCCGCTAGGGGGGACGCTCGCCCCTGCGGCTGCCCAGCTCGGGCTGTGGGTGGCGAGAGGACACTGCTCTCTGGGCCTGTGGTCCGATGCACGCGGGGCTCCCGGAGACCAGGGCAGGGGCACCTCCTCTGGGGGGTTGAGAGAAGGGAGCATGGCCCATCTCCTGCCGGCTCACCGGGCCTCTCCTCTCCTCCGCAGCTACGACTCCAACCTGAACGACTCCCGGGACGACAAGAAGAACAAGTTTGCCAGCACCATGGAGTTCGTGGAGGATTATCTCAACAACGTGGTGAGCGAAGCGGTGCCCTTCGCCAACGACGAGAAGAACAAGCTCACCTTTGAGGTGAGAGACCTGCGCAGGCCCTGCGGGGAAGGGGGCATTCCACCGAGCGTCAGAGCAACCCCGAACGGGGGCATTTCAGCACCGCATGGGCCTTACTACTGCAGAGATGCAAGGAGACCACATCTCACTGCCGTAGAGGGGCCCTGTGGAAACTTGGCCACCAGTTTCTAGTCAGACCGTGGGCGGCCATCTTGGAACTGCCCGTTCTTAGCGCAAATGGAGTGGCCATCTTGGAATGGCCAATTCCCACCGCAGCCCAGGCAGCCGCCTTGGGAGTCCTAACTCCGTGCGGTTGTATTCCTCCTCTGCTCTCCGGGTGTGGGAGAGAGCTGGAGTCTTTCTGTCCTTCCTGCAGGTCGTCAGTCTTGCCCACAACCTCATCTACTTCGGCTTCTACAGCTTCAGTGAGCTGCTGCGCCTGACGCGCACTCTGCTGGGTATCATAGACTGTGTGCAGAACCCTCAGCTGATGATGCAGATGCCGTACAGTGAGGATATGGCAGGTAAGGCTCATTGCACTTCACTGGCTCCCCTGTAAGCACCTGCTTCTCTGAACTGCCCCCATTCCTCGGTGGTCTCAGCTGAAACTGGTGGGCCTGACTGTCCCTGGAGGGGCCCCCACCCAGGAGTGGGAGCAGCCACCTGGGGCATCTCACTTCTGTGCTCACAGCTGGGAGCAGAGGGGAAATCACAGGGGGAATCTTGCCTCTGGCAAGTAGATCTGGAGTCTGTTCGGCTGCTGTGCTCCGAGTGTGGGGACAGGACCCGGGGGAGCAGCAGGGCTCCCGCCATTCAGTGGGGGTGTCTGGGAAGCGGGAGCCTTGGTGGGAGTCTGGCTTGGAGCGGAGACCCAGCGGCAGCCTGGCTGGGAAGCCAGGAGCTGGCTTTCTTGTCAATTTCACAGCTCCAGGGAAACCATGAAATTGACAACAATGACAGCCAATGGAAGGAGCCCAGGGTCTGCACAGACATTGCATTGCTCTAAGGACACCAACATAAGCCCTATGCCTCCCATCGGGGTGGGGTCATTCTGTCGGTGCAGTGGGGCACGTAGGTTGGTGGGAACGAGGCTGTAATGGAGACACGGACATCGTGCCTTACAGCGACCTAACTCCCTGTTGTAGACCAAGCCTGCGAGACGGGCTAGCAAGAGCTTGGCCTCTCTCCGGTTCTGGGGGAGGAGCTTGGAATTTGGCCCTCGGTAGTAAATGCTAAAAGTAGGGACATGCCAGGTGAATAATCAGCCTCCCCATTTGTCCTGCAATAACATTCAACCAGTTTCCAGTTTGGGTGGGCTCCTCAGCCAGCCCCCAAGTGCACATGGAAACCCCCCTCGAGCCCACTTTGTGCATCAGAGCTGGCCCAAAGCATTAGCCTTCTGCCAACTGCGGCGGCTTCCCTAGGGAAGAACGTGCGGAAGTCCATCCAGGGTGTTGGCCAGATGATGTCCACCATGGTTCTGAGCCGGAAGCAGTCCATCTTCAGCCCCCCGAGCCACAGCACGGTGGTGGCCTCTGAGTCCACGGACCGGGAGAGAACCATAGACAACGAGAACATCGTGGTGATGGAGACCAAGCTGAAGATCCTGGAGATCTTGCAGGTGGGAGCTCCGAGTGGTGGAAAAGCTGGTGCAGGAAGCGCAGAGGGAGGGGATAAATGAAGCGAAGAAGCTGCAGCTTCCGACTTCTGCCGCTAGGCCTGGCTGGGGGGGCCGGGGGGGAGAGGGGGGGGGGCGTCCGCA